CTGACCCCCCCCACCTTCTTTTCCCACCTCCATCACCCCCAAAAAAGGGCCCCGATTCCCCACCCAGGAGGATAAAGACCCAAAGAGAGGACTTGGGATGAGGAAATGAAAAACTCGACTCAAAATACTACGAGACGGGGCCAAGCGACCCCAATTCCTCTTCTTTCCGCCCCAAAACGGAGCTCAGCTCAAAAGGTTGATATTTTCCACGTCGGAATGGCCTTTGGGAGCGGGGAGAGGTTTCGGGGAAAAGATGAGATTCCCGGGATCCCGGATGCCAAGAGCTTCCCCAAGGCAGAGCCGGTCCGGCCGCTGCGCTCCAAGATCCGATGGGGAATGGGAGTCACCTCCAAGCTCTTCCAAGACCAATTAACGAGCTCATCATGTGTAATTAATGCCCCCACATTCCTGGTTCGTGGGTTTTTGGGAGAGGAGGAAAAGCAGGAACATCCCAGAAGGACGATGCTCCGTGGTCCCCAAAGCTCCGTTGGTGACGCCGAGGGATTCACCGGTCCAGCTCCCACTAATGAGGTTCGTTTCCCAGCTCCCATTAACGAGGTTAGTTTCCCGGCTCCCACTAACGAGGTCCATGTCGCCTCCCACGACTCCGGCGTCGCTCCCGATGATCCCAGATCCATGGGGGGGCGGCGGGGGGACGCTGCCAGGCTGCTCCCCCCATCCCAGCGCGTGTCCAGGCGGAGACCCCAAAGAGCAATTCCCGCTTTGATTTTCCAGATATTCCCAATAATTAATTAATTACCAGCCAAGAATCCTGCGCATTTCATCATCCTCCGGGATTTTGTGCTCCCTCTGGAAAAAATCCCACGTGGATCAAGGGGTTCCAGGACCGAGCAACTTGGATTTCCTCATATTTTCCTGCTTCAACCACACTTTTTGGGGAAAAACCGGTTGAAATAAGTTGCCCATTTAAAAAAAAAAAAAAAACAACAAAAAAACCAACCAAAAATAAATGAGCCAAAAATGATCCTGCCAAAACCTCCCAGGATATCGAGGTATCGGAGGCGTCAAATAATGGGATGTGGGATTATTTCAGCACCCGGAGAAGGAGAGGGTGGGAATGATAAGAAAAAAGGAAGAAAATCAAGATATTTATAGGGAGGGAGAGGCCTCCGGGTTAAGGAGCTGCTCGGGGGGCGTCGGGGGGGGGGATGCTGACCCCATCCTGGTCGATAAAGGGGATTTAAGGCGGGATGCCAGCCCGTGAGATAAAAAATATAATCCATATAATGGAGGAATAACCAAAAAAAGCCCATTTTATTCCCCCGCAGCACCCACTGTCTCCTGGGAAAGCGACGAAGCGACGCTGGAGCCCAAAAGGCGGCTGCAATTCTGTATCCCCCCCCCCGCTGATGGCTCTTGGCATTTTCAAGGAGAAAATGTCCCAATTTAGGGGGAAATCCCCCCAAAATGAGCATTTCCCCCCCCCCTCCCAGCCTCTTTCCCCTCCCCGTTACGCAGCAGGATGAGCATCGCGGGGACGAGACGGCTGCGCAGCATC